GTAAACTCTATTGCCAAGCGCCAGCCAACAAAATGTCAGGCTTGTAAAAAAAAAAAAATCATAGTGTGTTTTGTTCCACCTTAGTTCATGGATCTTGTCCTGTGCAATGTCTGACTCTTTCTAGATCAAAGTAACATGAAAGGTAACATTTTGAATTGATTCAGAACATTAAGGCAGAAACAATAGTATAATTAGACAGGAAAGAAAACTTTAAGAACAGCTTCAGAAAGTAGCTAGCATAATTAACTAAGTGTGTTCAAATGAGTGGGAGTATTTTGAGGTTGGCAATGTGTCTTTTATTGTAATAAAAATTTCAATTTTTATGTAAATGTGCACCATATTTTCTGATCACACCTCATACACACACATACATACATATATTTATGAAAACCCCTTACTAGTTATGTGGTCACCCCAGCTCAAAGGAAGGCTATAAAGCTGGACACACACAACCAAGCCTATGAATGCAAATGGAATTGAGAATGACTACGGACTGAATTGGTAACTACCAGTGGTTTGGACTTAGGGAGGTTGGGAGGAGGCTTCCGGGTTGAAGCATCATAGGAATCGAGCCCTGTTCACAAAGTGAGAAAAAAATGTACTCTGGGCTGAATAAAAAAGACACTGAGATAAGACGGTTTTTGCCTGGCAAAATATAGCTGTGATTTGTAGTAGGAATTTGTTTTCTTTTCTTTGCAGGGATATGGACATGTATTTATTCACAAAATCAAACACAAACACATTCTGGCTAAGAACTACTTTGGTCAGATTCCAGTGCTGGCATCATTTATACAGGATGATGGTGAAATAGAAGAGATCAGAAGCAAATATCACATACATAAAGCACCGAAAATTATAGCAGCCCAGAGACCTAGTCCTTAGAGGATCCGGAAATATTTGTTTGATGATAAGAATTTTTATCCACTCGATCAAGTCAGCTATATCAACACCAATAAACCAAAGGAATAGCCTTGACTGTGTGTCTGTCTGGGACCTGTGATAGTGAACAGTGGCTGATCCATCAGTCTTAACAGGCACATTTAAATAGCATAATTCAGGAAGATTTTCTTTACAAAAGGGCCTGTTTTAAAATGTGGGCAATATAAAAACTGAAGGACTGGCATAGGAACCCAGGGCTGCTATTACATTTACTGTATCTACCTCTAGTCTTAAATGAACTTGGGGAGAGCGAAGCCAGAGGACCCAGAAATAGAGGATTAAGAAGATAATTGAGATCAATGCCTAGTTGTCAAGGGACAGCAGCAAATCCCTGTGAAACAGAAAAACAAATATCCAATTTCATGCTTCTTCCTTCTTCCAACCTCCTCCTGGGTTTCCCATTGGCAGAACCCAAAAGGAGAACGGAAAGAGGAGCCATAATACATACATCTTCAGAGAAAAGACCAGAGTAGAAAAGAGGTGCGTAGAAAAGGTATAGATGAGAATTGTCTAGAGCCTAATTGTAAAATTTTCGGGGCTATGTTCAACTAAATTTGCCCTTCTTTTAGACTTCAGATGTAGGGCTAAATAGAGAATATCTAGACAAGGAAAGGGTGAAAAATGCAAATCTATAATTGAAATGGCAGTATTCCACTCACATTATAATTATAGAAAGACATATATAATCCTTTTAATTCTAATCCATAATTAATGAGGCTGCTCTTTCGTGTTTAGTGACCAAGAATTTCAAACTAAATATTTTTCTATGTAAACATTTCACAACATTTTAGCAGCGCATTTTCTAGGCTGTCTACAATTTTCTTTACTTAACAAAAGTACAGCCCCTGGCAATTGTTCAAGATCTAAACATCCAGGAAGAAAGTGCTATGATGCTGTTATTTTCATAGACAATCCAGACATTCTGGAAACTTTCCAAACAACAAATTACAGATGGGACTAGAATAGGGACTATTTTCACCACTGGTAAAAGGGTAACAATTTGACACAGACATATGTAGGTTTACACTAGAATGTAAAATAACAGATTTTCACAGAACAGTCCAGGAGAATTTGACAGCTCTGAGAAAAAAGGGCTGGAAAGATGTGTGTGTGTGTTTGTGTGTGTGTGTGTGTGTGTGTGTAGCCAGATAGGGCCAAATAAAGGCTTTTAAAAACTCCCCTGTTGATCCACAACTGATTGTAGCATTTTCTCAAAGGAATAAAAGACTTACGGAGTAAAACTAAGAAGAAAGATAAGCTTGGGATATGTATTCTTTGACTTCTCCCTTATGCTTCTTGATATGTTATTAGTGACAGTGTTTCTTTGTCTAAGGCCACAGATGCAGCTGTGTGGTCATCTCTAACACTCCCACTCCGTGTTCTGGAAATCATTCATTTTCCTCCTTAAGCTTACACATGAGTAATATTTTTATGTGTCTAAATTTATCTTTGTAGTACTTTTATGTAGCCAGCTTTACTTTTTCTTGTTGATTTCCTCATCATATTTTCTTCTTTATAAAGTCCTTTTATCAAATACTTTTCAACATAAGCAGTTTGAGTATACCAAGAGGTTCCTGCTGGACCCCAACAGAAGCAGTAATTGGTCCACAGGAATTGTCCCAGGAAACTGACCTGAAAATGGAATCCTATGCGTGAATTGCTCATATATTTGAAGAACATATGGATAACATCCTTGCCAGGATGAAAATGGAACAAGGACAACATGCAGCATGTAGTAGCATCATACTCAAATGATCGCCAATGACGGCGCAGTATGGGGTGCAGATGGAGAATAAAAAGCCAGGAGATCCAATGGTTGAAGCAATTAGTCACTTTGATGGCAAGGTTTGTTTGTGGCATAGGAAAACAAGAACCAAGATATATCATGTAAAGTTACTAGATCCCAATGATAAATGTACCTGTATTGTTTGCTTTAAATGTACCAGTAAGATTAATGAGGAGAAAAATAAATAAATATCCAAATATTCCTTATGCTAGAGAGGATTCATTTTTTTAAAGGATAAATAGAAAGACTTGAATGGTCAATGCAAGCCTCTAATAACAATTCAGAAAGTCTTTATGGTAACTATAAAATTCCTTATCCCCTGTACGTGCAGAAAAGGTGTAGCTGTGGATTAAGTCTGGAGCCTAATTGTAAAGTTTTCAGGGCTATGTTCAACTACATTTGCCCTTCTTTTAGATTTCAGGCTAAGATAAAGATACTGGTGAAGAACAAGGGGTGGTCTGGTCTGAATTAATCCGTGTACTGGAAGAGTGGTATGCTTTTGGCCATTTTTATTAAGATTTAAAAGAGCATGTAGAAAAGTAAGTCCTAAGGATATAAGACTAAAACAGTGAAGTGAAAAATTATATTCTTTTAAATTTATGTTCTTGCATAGAATTTAGGATTTAACATGTTTGAAGTCTGGAAAATTGTTGGATATGTTCACTGAGGACTAGATTAAAAAGTGGCCCATACCAATGAGCTTAAAATGCTAGAATTTAAAACAGTAAAGACTCAGGAACTTGGGGTTCCTATCATGTGCAACCTTCTCTGACACTTCCTAGAGATGTTTATTAAGACATAGAGATTAAAAAATCCCTTGTTGATGGTCGACCAATACCCTTGAAATGTTCTATGATGGCTGGTTCCTGTAGTCTTGATATGACAAAATGCATGCTAAAATAGACTTTGATAACCTGTTGTAGTGGGAATAATATGATCCTAATGTTAAAAGCCAAGGGGATAAAGCTTAACTATCAGAAAAAAAAAAAGGTGGGAGGATTTATAAGAAACCCTAGGGACAAAAACAAACAAACAAAAAAATCAAAATGCAGGTGTTGGTGAAGGTTGTAAATAATCGGAACCATTGTTCCCTGCTGGTGGAAATGTGAAATGGTGCAACTACTGCATAAAATCATGTGAGGATTTCTCACATTTGAAGCAGAACTACCATAGGATCCAACAATCCTGTTTTTAAGTATTTATCCAAAATAATTGAAATTAGGATCTCAAATATTGGTGCCCCCATGTTCAGTGAAGCAATATTGACAATAGTCAAAATAAGAAAATAACTTGAATGTTTATGGATAAAAAAATGAATGGATAAAAAATGGCATATACATGCAATGGACTATTATTCAGCATTAAAAATGGACATTTTAAGGGTTGGGGATTTAGGTCAGTGGTTCCACTGCCTGGCTTGCAGGTGCAGGGACCTGAGTTCGATCCCTGGTACTAAGTAAGAAAGAAATAAAAAAAGAAAGGAAGGAAGGAAGAGAAAGAAAGGGAAAGGGAAGGGAAGGAAGGAAGGACATCTTGCAATATCTGACAATATGGGTAAAACTTGAACACATTATGTTAAATGAAATAAGCCAATCAGACAGGCCAAAGAGTGTATGATGCCCCCCCCCTTTTTTTTGGTACCGGGGATCAAACTTGGGTCCTTGTGCTTGCAAGGCTGGTGGTGGAACCACTGAGCTAAATCCCCAGCTGCATGATGCCATTTCTAAGAGGTATCTAAAGTAGTCCAACTCAAGGAATCGTAGTTGTCATAGGCCATGGGGTAAAGGGTAATTGAAGTTGTTAATCAATGAGAATAAAATTTCATTTATGCAAGATGAATGAGCTCTAGGGATTTATAATCACATAGGGATTTGTAATGATGGTAAATGATAATTTATGACAGTGGTAATCAAATCCCCAGGAGTGAAATACATAGCTGTATTAGTTTCCTCGGGCCATCATAACAAATTGCCATAAATTGATGTCTTCAAACAATAGATACTCAAGCTGGAGATGTAGCTCAATGGCTCCACACCTGCCTGGGAAGTGCAAGAGCCTGAGTTTGATTCCTGGTACCAGAAAAAAACAAAAAACACAAAACAAAACAAACCAGAAATGTATTTTCTCGCAGTTCTGCAGGGCAGAAGTTCAAAATCAAGGTGTTGGAAGAGCTTCACTCCTTCCAGAATCTTTATGGGAAAACTGTCCCTTGTCTCTAACAACTCCTGGTTGCTCAAGCACTCCTTTGTTCCCTGGCCTGTATGACTGCAGTCCCTGTTTCCCTGGGGTTATTACTTACTTCTTTACTAGTGTCTGCCCTGGGAGAAAGTTTTCTGCTTGCCAAACCTCACTGCAAACCTCTTTGCCACATTTACATCCTCTACAATAAGGTCTGAATCTCAGCCCTAAATGGGGTATCCTTCCAAGTCATTTTCCCTCAGTTGATCCACTTCTACCATAGAGACAGTGGATGCTCCCTACGTCCACTGTTCTTGTCGTTTTTAGAGTTCTCTTCACAGCAATTTATCTCTCATTGCTAGTTGAGAATTTTTATATGAAATTTCCCTGTTCCAATTACAATGTTGTCTTCTGATTGGATATTGACGGATAGAGCAGGGAATATTCAGATTTTCTCTCTAAAGTAGAGTAGTCACACTTCAAATCACACACCACAGAGAAAAGCACAATGGTTACTGGGCTTCTCAGATTCTGGAGGCAATATATGTCCCATTCAGGTATTGTGCTCTCACCTAATAACCAGTAAATTTAAGCTGCCACTTTTGAGTGAGATAAAGGCACTCCAGCCATACAAGTTTTCCTTCTACCATGGCCACAGAACTCAGTACAAGTAATATTAATGGCCGTATCTGCCAAAGGGAGGTATGTTGTGTGGAGACTTTGACTAGCCCCATCAGACATTAACAAGATAGGTATCAGGGGCATTGGAATAAGCGCTTGCTCTTTACTGTCAACCAGTAATCTCATTCTTTTTATCTTCTGTTGGGTCATGGTAGAAACCAACACCTAATCATGATTCATTAAGCGACTCAGCCACTCAAAATGACCATAATGACCTGTGCATTATCAGATATACCCAATCATAAAGTTAACTATTCACAGCATCATTTCATTGTAATGTGGAACTAGTAGATGATGGATAAGTATATAGCTATAGATCTGGATATATAGATATAGATATGGACATATGAATGTTCTAGCAGATCTGGAAGTTACATGTAAACCACATAAATAAATTACACTCTCCCAGGATATGTTCCCTAATTCCCATTTTCTTGTGTAACCCTCAACTAACAGCTGTGCTTCATTGAGATTTCCCTGTGATCACTTGAATGAAAATTTTAAAAATGAACTGGTTTGGAGAAGGAACTGTATAGTCTGTCCATAGATGGTCTGCTTTGGGGCTGAGTCTATATATATGCTGGGCACTATGCTGCAGTTCAACTTGGGATGGCCATGGAAGACAAAGATGAGATAAAAAGAATTCTAACAGGAAAAATTTTAGATGGTGAACATGGTTGCTTTTTTTGGAATGGGAATTCATTGCTTTTACAAATCTGTAGATCCATGCTAGTGTCTGAAATGTTGACCAACTGGCAAAAGATGTAGGCAAAGAAATTGGTAGGGGGCTCTAGGGGAGGATAGAAATGATTTATGTAGTCCAAGGAATATTCATTTCATAGGATACTGCCACTTATCAAGTGGACAAAATAATTCTTGTGATAAGTTGGTCTTTTTTGCTATTCTTCCAGGTGCTCACTCAGTGAGCCCATTTATAATGTTACTGTTCCAGTAAGGGTGGCTCTTATCTATGGGTTTAACAACAAAGAGTTTCTTACCAAAGCTGAGCTGGTTACTATCACAGCTGAGAATGTGATCCACAACAGCATACGGCTATAATAAACTGCAAGGAGGTGGGAGTCCTCGAGGAAATCAGCAGGTCTTCAGGTGGCTCACTGATTATATTGGGGCCTTTTCATTATGGAGTGGACAGAAATTTGTTCTCATGAAGACACCCTAATATACGTATATTTTTTGTCTTAGGTGCTTATTCTACTTTTGTCCACACAGTAATGAACCTACAGAAAGCCTCACTCACCACCATGGTATCACATATCACATTCCTTCAACAACGGAATTATTTTAGAGATACAAGTGTGATAATGGGTTCATGCTCATCAAATTTACTAGCTTTGCAATGTCTCTGTCACTCAGAAATATCTGGCTTAATAAAATGAAAAAAAAGTAGCCTGCTAAAGGATCAGTTTTAGCGCCATCTATGTGACGTGACCAGGAGATGGAGTACTGTCCTGCAGGATGCAAGGGACATTTGATGTCCCTGACCAATGTGTGGTGCTGTCTCCTTCATACTAATAGTGCATAGATTGGGAAAAAGTGGGGAAAGCTGGCTAATACTGTAGAAGTTGCTGTCTGATCTGTCTTCAGAATGCACAGGATGGGGAACAAAAATGAAGCTGAGTGACCCCTGTCACTATTATACCTTAAATCTACATGAAGAATTAGTACTTCCCATCCCTTCAACCCAGGACTCAATCGATTTGGAAATCCTACTGCTCAAAGGAGACATTCTTCCAAGCAAAACAGCAATATGTCCGTGGATCTAGGGTTTGAGATTCACAAAGTAAATCTTTAAAGATCCTGAATGGTAAAGTAATTATGTTTTTCTAAACCAACACAATACAATTTTCCACAGGCTGAGAGCTATCACTGTATGGTTGGAAAGGAATATTGTTCATATTTTTATTATAAGATTATTTGAATCTCATCAAATTTCACGAGTCAGGTTTGCTGGCAAATCTATATTCCAAGTAGCCTGCTCTAATGCCCCATTAGATTCAACATACCATGTTGTTTAACTGGATCCAAGAGCTGCCAATAGGGGAAATAATGTATCATTCCATAATAGGCACTATAAAGCATCACATTGAACTCCAAAATCTATCACACTGTCTTTTGCAAAGACCGTTATATGTATTTAAATGTGAGATTGTTTCAGAGACACGATAAAGTGTTTATTCAAGAAAACAGTATATTGGATGATCTTAGAATTCTTAACTATTTGTTTATCAATTTGAA